CAGGCTCATGATGTCTCCCGCGCCGAGTGGCAACCCTGACCTTTACAGCACTCAAGGCCACAGGGCCTATCTGCTTGCTGTGTCCACAGCCCTGAGAACCCAGCCCCAGCGCCTGCACCTGAAGCAGTGAGGCTTTCATCCCTGAAGGCAGAGCTGGCGCCTGAGCAAGACCACCCTGCAAGTCCTCAAGTCTCCCAGGAAAACAGCCCACACAGCTCTGTGGACATGATCCCCGGTGGCCAGGTACACACGTGTGTTCACGGCTGGGGCCGAGCAGTGTGCATCTGTGGGCCATGGAGCCGAGCAGAACCTCAGGAACTGCGAGAGGAAGAAGGACCCGGGTCTGAGGCGCGAAACAAGGAGCAGGACAAGGGCCAGGAAGTGCTGTTCCGGATCCCCGGCCCTGGCACGTGGGCCTCAGCGAAGGAGCTGTGGTCACTGCAAGCGAGAGCGGCTCCCCAGGGGGTGGCAGAGATCCCAGGCCATGTGCTCCCTGCGGCCACAGCTCCCTCCTCCTGCTTAGGGTTCCATTTACCCCAGGACTTGGGCCCAGGCAGTGGCACAGGATGTGGATCTGTCCAAATTCTCTCAGCCCCTTCCACCACCTTTGCTGCCCCCACCCTGGTCCAGGCTACAGAGCTCTAGTGACCGCAGGGTTGCCTGCTCCCCTTCTTCTCATCCCATCTGCATACAGTAGCTGGAGATCGTCCTAGATGACAAACAAGACCCCTGTCTGTGTGCTCCAAACCCTCCAGAGTCTTGATCAGCCTTCAGGTTGGATTCCAGTCCTTTAAGTGGGCCTGTGAACCTAGTCCTGGACACCTCTCACCTCACCTGACCCAACTACACACTCTGCCTACTCTAACCTCAGAGTCCCTGCCACAGGCCCTTTGCACTTGCTGTTCTTGGCTCCTACACAACTTTCCCTCCAAGTCTCTGTGCAGTTGACTTCATGTCAGTAGGGTCAGCTCAACCATCTGCTCCTCAGAGAGGCCCCCTTCGCCCACACGACCTTAGGTAGCCCCACTTCTCAAGTTATTTTTATCCAAGCCTTTTGTGTGTGGTGCTGGGAATTGAACCCAGGGCCTTGAGCATGCGAGGCAAGCACTCTAGCAACTGAGCATGTCCCCATCCCTCATATCCAAGCTTTTGTCACAATCTGGTCTTTTGTTTTTGTTCATGGCCCCACTGCCTGTCTCCCCCAAGAAAGAAGGTCTCCCCGAGCCTAGCCCGGTGCCTGGCAGAAACCAGGCCCGCAGGGAAGGAGTGTGAGTGGAACAGATGAAGGACAGTGACGGTGGAGGGTGAGAGGCTCTTTATTCTCTTGGGCGTGGTCCCC